GAACCGGGGCTGTTTATTTGAAAGCTGTTTATTGGGAAGCCGTTTATTCGAAAAACTGTTTTATTGGGAAAGCTGTGATAATTCTGGCCTTCTGTGGAACCAAATTCCAAAGAATGTCATGACATTAGGGTGTGTCTGTTAGGTACTTCGTAGGTGTGTCAAACATCCACATTCTCAATCGAACCATTCAGGTGATAGGATGACAACTGCGAGCAGACGATTTAGTAAATATATACATAGTAGTAGGTAAGTAACACCGATTCTAGCACACATTGACCTTGATAGACTTACTTGATCCAAGGTCATTCTTAAGGCCAATTCATACCATAGCTTAGGTGACGCTCTGCTTACGCTCCGCTCAAAATATTGTAACATGCTATTTCAATAGGAATATTCACATTTGACGATCAGGTCACGGTCAGAACATGTTCATAGAAATACACGCTACAATAATTGACAGAGCCGTGATCTGACCGATAATGTGAATTGACCTTTAGGTGAGTCATTCTCTCTGTCACCGAAGGTCAAGCCAGTGTCCTGAACTAAACTGGAGGTCAAACAGAGCAATGCCACTGAAGGTTAAATGCTCCGATTCAATGTCGTTAAACGAAAGTTAAACGAGCGGAGGGAGATTCCATGTCACTGAAGGCTAAACGCTGAGGTGGGACATTTAAACCAATGTCGATGAAGGTTAAACGCGGCGAATGACACTAAAGGCGGTAAGTATCACTGAAAGTTAAACGAGTCAATGTAACTGCAGGTCAAAGAGAGCAGACGTGAAGGTGAAATAGAGGGCAAAAGTGAAGGTTAAATATGGTGCCGCTTATAAGTAAAGTTATCAGATTTCCAAAAATCTAATAAAAGTAGGGCATTTCATTTAAAAGAATTAAGTTAGATAGCGCCACCTGGCGGTGACGCATTTAATTAATAACCTTTTTATGACAAAATATATGGACAGAGCCTACATTTATAACAAAGTTTTAAGAATTTTAAAATCTGCAGTCGTTTCAGAGATATCGTGCTGTCCCGTTCCTCGCTAAACACAATGTATACAGTGCGTTTTATCTTGCATTGGAACATACGATTTTGCATGCAATGACGTTTCCCTATATGTTCCATTAAAAAAAAACGCATCAACTGCAACATATAGGATATGTGCGGTTCACAACTATACACACGTATTGGAAATTTGTGCGAGTCACAACTGAACCAGCCTTTAATTATTTTTAGGTTATGTACGTTGAAATGGAAGGTATTGGTTCATCAGGATACTGAACTGCAAGTAAATCGCGGACTTTTCTTGCACTGTTGTGACCTTTGTATAAATTTATAATTTCAATTTTCATTTTTTAAATTTATCTGCAGGGCGGTAGATGTGAAGGTGACAGTTGTACATTTCACCTACTACCCATTTGAACTACTTCTATAGGTTGACGCGTTTTTTTTACAATGGAACATATTATAGGTAAATAACATTGCATGCAAAATCGCATGCTCCAGTTCAAGATAAACCCACTGTATATATAAAACATTGATCTTTCAACATCTATTGCCCAATAAACAAGAGGTGGGGGTAAAAAAGAGTGAAATATACATATTGATAGAAAGTACGTAAGAGGTATCTGAAGAATTTGAAGAGTGTAACGAATTTGAAGAACCTGAGAATTAGAAGAGATTGAAGGATAGGAAGCAACTGAATCGATGGAAGAATCCGAAAAATGTGAACAATCCGAAGCATTGTGGGCTAAAGACTCGGAATGATGTCGGGAACTTACTTAATCTGAAAAGTCATCAAAACCATTCTAATTTTTTTGCTCCGTTGTTAATTGGTAATCCCCCTCCCCTCCCCATGCCGTGCTACTGTAGTGAATCAGATTAATAAAGAATAATACCTAACTCTTGTAAGATTTTAACATGGCAACGGAAATCAGATTTCTGCCACCCTTAGCCCTAGCGGACACGGAGCGACTGTTCTGTAACTACAGTTGCACGCGCAACTGGTTTGCAACTGTAGTTGCAGAACAGTCGCTCCGTGTGCGCTAGGGCTTAAGGGAGGTATTGCATTGGGGTAAAAAATGGCCTCCATTTTTTTGACGAAGATACAGATTTTCGGGCACCAGGAATCGAGATCATATAAAATATATGGATTATGTCAATCGGTTGGTCTGTCTGTACTCTTATTTCCGGGTAAACGGTTGAACCGATTGGACCCAAATTTGGTACACATATTCTTAGACATAAAAAGAAGAGCTGACCAGATTTTGGGGCATAGCCAGGTGCAGTGCGTGTGGTTTCTGTGCTATCCTACATTTACCGTCGCGCTGACAAAGTATACGAATTCACGTAAAAAAATTTCGCGAATCAACTTTTTGATGACCTTGCATCCTTGCAAGTAGTAATATATGGCCGATTCTAAATCACACTAGATGAAAATCCCTATAAACGCCACTAGAATTGAGTGATTCTGAACTGCGGTAGCGAGGTTTGCACCTGTGCTAACGTCAAGGTTAAGGAGTCGAGGTTTGTGCTCTAGATAAAGTATCGGAGGTTTGCGTCCGAGCTAAAGTAATTTGGTTTGCGCCTGAGTCGAGGGTTCTTGTCGATGATAGTGTACGGCACACTAGATGAAAATCCCTAGCAAATTCGAGGTTTGCGCTTGTACTAACGTCAAGGTCAAGGGGTCGAGGTTTGTGCTCTAGATAAAGTATCGGAGGTTTGCGTCCGAGCTAAAGTAATTTGGTTTGCGCCTGAGTCGAGGGTTCTTGTCGATGATAGTGTACGGCACACTAGATGAAAATCCCTAGCAAATTCGAGGTTTGCGCTTGTACTAACGTCAAGGTCAAGGGGTCGAGGTTTGTGCTCTAGATAAAGTATCGGAGGTTTGCGTCCGAGCTAAAGTAATTTGGTTTGCGCCTGAGTCGAGGGCTCGTGTCGATGGTAGTGTACGGCCGATTCTAAATCACACTATATTCTAAATATGACTTTGAAGATGTGGTGGGGATTGACGCTTATAAAAGCATCTATATGTTTTCTGCATTAGCATTTGATGCAGAGCACGAGGCGATATATGGAAGCGGTGAATACAGCCCAGAGGAGTAATTTTCGTAATTTTGATAGACGTTGGCTTTCAACTTCTTGTGTGCAAGCGCACTTGACTCAATTTTCGTTGCACCTCGAATACCTCCAGGTACCATTTTAATCTCTTTATTTTCGTAAGCAAATCCTCAATTCTCTTGCGGTTTCGGGTTACGTTTATAAATGTTGTTGTTGTTGTGGTTGGTGTTTTTGTCATTGTAACGGATGCTCTTTCTGTACCAAGATGAATATTACAGCACTAATTCCTATCCTTTATATACCACCTTCAGTTCATAAACAAACCACTTCATCTCGAGCGCAAACCTTACTTTAGCCTGGATGCAAACCTCTGATACTTTATCCCTGAGCGCAAACCCCCAACATGATCAAATTACTTTAGCGCAGGCGCAAACCTCTCTATGCTAGTGTGATTTAGAAACAGCCATATATTCATTTTAGACAAGAACTTTGACGTTAGCTCAGGCGCAAACCTCGCTAGCGCAGTTCAGAACCACTCAATCCGAGTGACTTTTCTAGAGGGATTTTCATCTAGTGTGATTTAGAATCGGCCGTACACTACCATCGACAAGAACCCTTGACTCAGGCACAAACCGACTTACTTTAGCTCGGACGCAAACCTCCGATAGTTTATCTCGAGCACAAACCTCGACCCCTGGACCTTGACGTTAGCACAGGCACAAACCTCGCTAGCACAGTTCAGAACCACTAAATTCTATTGACTTTTCTAGGGGTTTTCATCTAGTGTGGTTTAGAATCGGCCATATATTACTACTCTTGCACCATTGTGCAGACAATAAATAAAATAAACAAATCGATCCCCGTTTACGTGAATTCGTATACTTTGCTAGCGTGGGGGCCAATGAGTTGACTACTGACGTCACGAGGACTAGTCTCGCTCACAGGTACGTTTCTTGCTTCGTACTGACCCTTGATCTTAAAATGCTCACAGCGGACGTAAATATCAATATTTTGCCCTCAACATTTTTTTATCGTTTTTTAATAACCAAATCTCTCAATTTTAGTTAAAATATAAGAAATATAAAACATGTCGGACCTCCTTATTCAAGTATCTCGGATAAATTTGTATTAGTTTGGAGTGGTTGCGAAACCTTTACTACAGCTTTGCTTGCTTTCTCATGTACCCCAAAAAGGGGGTTTTAGCAGTTATCAATTGAGGCCAAAGAACGGTCTTAAATTTGAAAGTAGGCCCTTTCAGCTCAAGTGCCATAATCAACGCTTGCTTTTGAGTAAAAAAAACTAGTCCGCGAAAAAGATCTGGGAAATATCATCGCGCACGGCTTCCCAAAACCGGGATATACCAATCTTGGCATAACAGCTAGCTTCGTGTTGGTCTTACGTGGTTAGAAGGATACGAATCCTTTAACTATCCCAGGCGAATAACTAATTAGATATTTCAGGTGTATTTAATTCTAATTTAATCTTAGATGACTTGTAACCTTAATGGTGAGTAAAGTGGGACAGTGCCGATGTCCATGATCACGAAACATGTTTGGAAGTTTTCCCAATTTAAATGAATTTGCAATCATTTTCACATTTACTTCATAATAACTGACTATTGTCGTAGACTTATCAAACTAAGTGTCGGTGTGTGTTAAGATGATATGTGTGTGAAAGAAGACCGAGAAAAATCTGTAACTGGGAAGCACCTTCCCACGCAAATCTCAATAAAATGAAACGTTTAGCTACAATTATAAGCACTTGTGCAACAATGTAAAAAGCCACACACACTTAAGCTGCAAATGTTGCAATAATACAATAAGCAGCGACGATATGTTGAACACTCTGTGGCAAATGATTGCACCTATAACGTCATGTATAGGTTGACCTTTGAAGTGTGCTCGATTTCGTATAGACAGCAATAAAGTAATCGACATAATACGAACCTGGAGATATCTCAACTGCAAGGCGGCGGGCGAATCCCCAATGACCTCGGACGCCTCGCGCAACGCTCTCGAAGCTTTCTGTTCTCCTTCGGCGGCAATAACTTTAGCACGTGCCTCGCGTGCGGCCTCCGCCTCGGCGGCCATAGCTCTCTGCAGCTGAACCGGGAGACGGACGTCCTTTCTATTAAACAAAACAGAACGTGCGTTACTGGAGCGACCGACGATACGTAAACTAGTCCTACATCTCAACCCGTTCCACGTTGATGCCCCACGATTCGGTCGCCTCATCTAGCAGAGCTTTCATGTGTTGGGAGATACTTTCGCGTTCGCTGAGAATCTCGTGAAGAGGTCTTTGTCCCATTATATTTCGTAGAGTGGTTTGTGCGAGAAGTCGAGTGGAATGATGAGCGTTTTCAACGTTCGCAATTGAAACCGTTGCGTTTGAAACGCGATAATATACCACGGCGTCGACGGATACAGTCACGCTGTCCTTTGTTAAAACCTGAAATGACAAAACAGGGTTGGAAACTTTCTGCGATTTTGTCGTTTTAAACACGCAATCTAACTGAAAACTATGTCAAACATCCTTTCGTAACTGATTTACACTTGCAGATTTTTGACACGTGGCGTGGAAATGTCGCGACTAATGATTCAGTACGATCTGTTCTGAACGAACAACACCCTTTAACTGAAATTACATGAAAGTAGTTATATTACATCAATATAATCCACCGCTAATTAGAGAGTCTTATAGCTTTGAGCATTACTTACAATTACAATTTTAGTCCAAATTGAAAATTTTCTCATGAATATCTCAACATATTAATCAAATAATTGATGCTCGGCTATGAATTGTAACACTATTTTGATGTTTCCTATGTACATGCAATTTATTATTTTACGAGTTGTGTTATCTCAATTGCTCCCACATGTACTTGAATGTGTCTTTTACTGAATTGATTTATCATATTTTTCACTGCATTTATGATGTCTCGTGTGTTTTGATTTTATGAATTTGTTTAATTGCATTTGATTCGATTACCGGAGATTTATCTACCATTTGAGATGTTTTATTTATGTGTATTTTTTCATGCACTTTTGTTGCTGTAGATGATTTTCTTCATGTATTTGTGTGGTCTATGCCAGGGTTTTTGTTCCGTAGAAGGTTTCCCTGGTTGTGTGCGTAATATATTTATATGTTCTTGTGATTTATTACGTACAAAAATTCTGTATTTTATTTAATTCTCTTCCCGATTATGTCCCACGTCCCAACACATACAAGAACCGATTACACAACGTAGGAGTTCATTCGTGCAATCCATATTGGGCCAACTGCTAACCAAATTCAAACGTCAATCGTTTCGACTTGAACACTTGAAAGGTAGGTGGTTCTGCTCGTAGTTTTTGGTCCAGAGTTGCCAACGGTAAGTATAGGGTACGTCAACGTTTTCAGTGTCGGCTTGGGAGACCCCTATAGGATCATTACAGTGTTTCAGTCATGAATACACAAGATTATTAATCCTCGGGTTGCCAGCACATCTTTGTACAATTTTAAAACGTGGCTTCAATGCACTTGCGTGTTTCGTAAAAATTCTATGTGGAATGATTTGATCTATCTTGCAATTTGCATCAGTCACAAACCATCATGTGACCATTAGATTTAAAAATATAAAAGTATTAATATCTACACACCCTGTAGATGATTTAGCAATTATTGTCGGTGGTCCTACGACGTACATTGGAGCAGTAGCAGGCAGTTGATGTCAAGTTTTCCCATAGATCAGATGTGCGTAATTTAGCGGCAGACGTGACAATAGAACGTCTAGCCATTTACGAAGAATAATTCGAATTACCAGTTTAAGAACAAGGTTCCAACTTTACCACTACGTTTTCCATGAAGACATCATCGGTAGGTGCAGATATAGACTAACCACATTCTGATTGACCACGACTCCTCTACTCTGATTGCGGGATACTCACCATAGAGATCCGGTAGGTATCAAACGGAAGGTCGATAACGACACCAGGTCATTGAGAGGAGGCAATGTTTAGATATTTATTTACCTTTATAATCGCGATTTCCTTTTCCAAGTAATCGAAGATATGGCGTAAGCGGGAAGTGAGAAGCTCCCCACATTATTTCCTGAGTAAAAAGGTCTAATAAAAATTTTCCCGTAGATGACTCCTTTAGGAGGTTCCTAATTCACATAACAAATGCTACTATGATTCAGTACACCTTAAAGTAAAAATCTGCAATGAGTTTGAGATCTAAAACATTTCCGCTATTTAAAATGTGTTTTTCTTGAACAATAATCGACTTTCACATGAATACTTGCTATTGGTATGTACATCACATGTACTTTTCGTGTTAAATTAATTTATGTTAACGGCGGCTGGAGTAGAGCCACACTATTTTGATGTTTCCTATGTACATGCAATTTATTATTTTACGAATTGTGTTATCTCAATTGACCGTACATGTATTTTAATGTGTTTTTTACTGAATTGATGTATCATGTTTTCCACTGCATTTATGATGTGTCGTGTGTCTTGTTTTTATGAATTTGTTTAATTGCATTTGATTCGATTACCAGAGATTTATCATACAATTTGAGATGTTTTATTTATATGTATTTTCTCATGCATTTTGTTGCTGTAGATGATTTTTTTCGTGTATTTGTATGGCCTATGCCGGGGTTTTTGTCCCGTAGAAGGTTTTCCTGGTATAGTCTTGTTGTGTGCGTAATATATTTATTTGTTCTTGTCATTTCTTACGCACAAAAATTCTGTCATTTATTTAATTTTCTTCCCGATTATGTCTCACGTCCTAACACATACAAGAACCGATTACAAAACGTAGGAGTTCATTCGTGCAATCCGTATTGGGCCAACTGCTATCCAAATTCAAAAGTGCCGCGAAACGTCAATCGTTTCGACTCGAACGACTTGAAAGGTATGTGGTTCTGCTCATAGTTTTTTTGTCCAGAGTTGCCAGTAGTAAGTATAGGGTAAGTCAACGTGATTGATGTGGACGACGTTTGCTAAGTGAACATGTAAGCTAAGGATGCTTGTTTTATAAGTCGGAAGTTGAGTTGCCGGTATCAGTTCCCTCTGCTCCGAAGGTTTACAGTGGGACGGTTGTGAAGAGAACGCGTGGTCACTCTAACCATCACGAATGGCGCGTCCCACTTCCGCTTGAAATCGCCGATGGCAATGTTCCGAGTTATTTCCATTACGCGGTCTATTGATTCTTTTTTTTTGGTTGTTGACCATTGCTAATATATGGAGTTATTCGTGGACACTATGCCCTAATGTGTAAATCAAAATGTTTTTAATGCACGGAAACTTGAAGAGTATAATATCCTCTAAAGCACGGTGGTTTACATAAATTCTAAATTTGGAAATTCGCGTTTGTCACCTCTTTGCTAACATTCTCACTACCACACGTTTCAAAATGTTGCTAACGGTGCATTCATACCTACCTCTTGGGGCGGAATATCATAAGTACGAGTGCGAAGATCGACCCTTGCGTACGCATCAATGCAAGGAAGGATGAAGAATATGCCTGAAACAAAAAACTTCGTTAATTATCTGTGCTAATAAACCAGTATCATATAATCATTGCTGTTAACTTGAAGGCAACACGATATGCCAATTTGTGATGATTTGGATCCAAAGGGGATTTTCGATTATTCGACCGGAATTGAGGCGACTTCATCAAGAGAAAGAACTGAGCGAAAACATCTCCATCCAGCCACGACCTCGAAGGCGAAGACGATCCTTCACGGCACTCCGGAGAAAATTAGGAGGATTGCGTGATTTCCGAAGAACAGTTCCATTTTCTGTTCTATGCGCGGTCCGTGCACAGTCTACTTGAAGGGTGCCGAAAAAGTCGCGTTAAAACCTGCCTGCCTGTGATTGGCCGAACCGAAACTGGAATAGCTGCTTGCAGTGGGCGGTCCTGAGTTCATTGCATTTTAACATCGATCACAGCGAGACCAAGACTGCACTCCGAGTCCTAGTGCATATTAACAATAGACGTTCAAGGTATTTATAAACCAGGAAACATGATCGCGTTGTAGTTTATAATCTTTGCTGTTCGCCCCGTCGTAGATTGTTGCATTGTAGTTTAAATTTGTGTTATAGTAAAGGCGATTTAATCACCTACTACGGTTGCATTCAAATAACTGCTTGTGAGCACTGTTTGTTTTCATTTTAACGACTCGAGCCTGGAGGCGTTACTACACGTATTTACAGCAGTTTGTTTTGATTTTCGATCTAATTGTATACCAATTTATGAAACAAGAATTAAGTTTCTTTCTGTACTCGGCGGTTTTAGAGTAAATATTTTGATTTTTGACTAACGTAATAAAGACAGATTTTCTTTTCCATGCAGCGAATTTTTGTGAATGAATGAGTTAACCTTACTCTTACAGGAATGTGCCGCCGCAACCCCCATTTCTTTTGACGTGTGTTATTTACAGCACAAAGGCGATTTTCTAAGAGAAAAAGAACGTAATAAGTTTTTAATAAAGACTATTGATTTTTAATCATTTATCCTTTCCCATTTCCCCGAGGCCAGAAAAGGATCATCGATTGAAGCCCAACAACCATTATTTTATGTAAGAAGAACCACCCTTAAGTAAAATAGTTTGAGAAAGAAAATGTAGGAAGAGTTGAAAAGTAACCAGCCGGTTGCACAAGGCACACTACTATAGTTTGAATCCCCCTTCCTGAGACTTTCAGATTCCATACATTATCCATCATCTCACATTATAATTCTGTAACATCAAATGGAACGATAAAATAGGTATACAGTGTAGTTTTATATTTATCCATTATATTAGGAAGAAATACAAGAGAAACTTCTTAAATGAGGGTTCAAAAATTTATAGAAATGCAAAAAGCGAGACCTTATAGACGACTTGGCACATGGTTATTTTAGAAGAGCTAAATTTAGACGATGAAATAGTAAGACTGGATTTGGAAATGAGAGTTTCTGAGACTGAGACTTCTGACTTTTTTTCCCATTTGAACCTTTTTGCTAGAGTAAAGGTACTTTCAGTACAACCTAAAAACAGAGAGTCAGAAGATGTAAAGTAAAACAAAAGGTTCCCCAAGGTCAAACAAGTTGGATGACATCAACAAATGGATTCGCGTTATGCTCCAGACCGGTAACCTTGTGAAAAAGAAAAGAGAGACTAATTCCAAAAAGCCCTTGACCGGCAGCCGTATTGTCTAAAAAATCAATTCTCGAATAGTGTCTCAGGAATTTGATTGTCAGACTTCGTATTATGTTCCAAATGTTTGAAAAGTTGTGCCAAGTTAAAATAAAAGAATCGGAAACCGATGACGTATAGTCCCCAATCCCAGAAATAACGACCATCATATTTTTGTCTTTTGATGATAAATTGACGAAACGACATTTCGCGAAATACATAAGAAAAGCACAAACAAAGCACACACGACCAATTAAGTGGAGCTTTAATATTAAAGTATTCCCTTACCTGGACCCTTAGCTCCTCCGGATAACAACCGTCCCAATCGGAATATGACTGCTCTCTCGTACTCTTGCACTACCTGAAAAGCAAAAGCGGAATTAGTGATCCACTTCGTTTGTTAGATTGGCGAATTAATTTTCCAGCAGGACGCGTAATCGATACGGGCGTAAAAAGTTACACGGCCAATTTAAACGCCCGGAAAGCTAATGAACTGTTTCTGTTGCGATAATGGGAGCGACGGTAAACGTTTGCATTTCCAGTTTATCGTATTTCGTACAGTTGTATTGTGTTTCATTATTGGTGTAATTGTACATTTTGCGAAGTTGAGATTGCATCTTCCCCCAGGCTAGACACGTTGATAACAAACATATTTGGTATCGTAGTCTAGTTTACTATTTAAAGTTTTGCTCTTAAAGTATAAATACAAATCTGTGTTTGGGTAACCTCTGGAATAAATACACGAAAACTTCGTTGGTTAAAATAAAATAACCCTCCACGTGATTTATTTATACGTTGGTGCGTGGCGTTGAACGTGTGGTAAATTGGCTGTAGATAATAAATTGTTTACGGATTCTGGTTTTTCTTAAAACGGAATATTGTAATGCTCTTCTCTCGCTCGAAAGGAATCTTCCAAGCGATTCAAACAACCCCTTATCATAAGCCAGTTGAATCTTTCGACAATTACGGAGGACGGTGACAATTGTTTTTGAGTCAGGTCCATCGACCGCATGCACAAAAACCCAATATGCAGTATTATGTAACGTGAAGTCGGCATGTTTATATACCCTAACAGAATTGAAGCTACAAATACATAACAAAGCTCTTATACACGATTCTTAAACACAATTTGAAAAAGTTTCTATTGAGCAAAAGTTTTTACTCAATAAATGAATTTTTAAGCTATCGTTGGTCTTCGGCCGATTTTATAGAGTAAATTGTATACGTATCTAAGCGTTTATTTGTTGTTTTTTTTTAAACTTGTTTGTTTGTTTTTTGTTTTACTGTTTTATACATATAGATATTACATACACATTAGACTTGACATTTGCAAACAAATTTATTTTGTATATAAATAAATAAATAAGTAAATAATACACACAGTTCTTTATTTTCGCCGCTAGAGACCATCCCAGTGTTATAAGTTTCATTGAACTTACTTCATTCTCTTGTCGCTAGAGTTCAAGCTATATACCTCTTCTGCACTTCCACTCCCTTCTTTAATTTGGTCTTGCGTACAGTTGTACTTGTACCGCGCAGAGGTTTTGCCTTCAAAGTGGTTAGTTGCAATTTTTTCTCGATAGGTCAGGTCTATCTGGATAAGGATCTTTTGTAGTGGATATCACCATCCTTTTTTTTAGTCATTCTTTATGTTTTTGATGATGTGCTGTGACTACTCCATTGAACACCCTTAGCGGATTTATATTTGCAAATAATAAATGTGAGGTATATACAGGGTGGCCAACTAAGAATGCGAGGTACTGAGAATGTATCCATCGTAGAGGCTTGCGGTAAAAAAATTTATTACTAAAACGGCCACGAGCTGGAAAATATTTTTAAGTTTCTGAAATGACCGCTAGGGGCCGTAACTGCAATCTAGTATCTAAAAAAGTGATGTTTCTGTGAATTCCGCTATATTAACCTAACCAAAAAATGTCCGGTCTTTGAAGTCGATGATAATCTGAACTATTTTTGTTTGACAATTTTTCCTGTATCTCTAAAAATGAAGTGGTGGGGGGTATTCAAAAGAAAGAAGTAAAGAACACCCTGTTTCTTCGAAACGGCTGAGCCGATTTAAATAAACTCGGGTTAGTTCAAAAGAGCTATTCAGTTACAAATATTATACTATTTGAAGTTTTGTTAGTTTCACATATCACCGCTTGAGGGCTTTTTTCGACATTCCAACAGAAATAGTTAATTTTCTCAAAAAAATGCATTGGTTCAATTTTTTTTCATGAAAAAGTAGCTAAATGATGCCTAAACAAGCTCGCGAAAACAGCTTTCTTTTTTAACTCGATCCACCTTAGGGCCACAAATTATATAATAAAAATAATTCCGGAAAAATTAGCTTAAAAAAATAAAATTTTGAGGGTATAACATTTTCTTTGGCCTAAATTTTAGGTTAGGAACAAGATCTCGAGATGCGGTTTTCGCGAGCTTCTTTAGGCATCATTTAGCTACTTTTTCAAGAAAAAAAATCAAAGGAATGCATTTAATTTTTTTGAGAAAATTAACCATTTGTGTCATATGTCATATCAAAAAAAGCGCTCAAGCGGTGATATGTGAAACTATAACAAAACTTCAAATATTATAATATTTGTAGCCGAAGAATAACTCTTCAATTAACCCGAGTTTGTTAAAATCGGCTCAGTCGTTTCGAAGATACAGGGTGTTCTTTACGGAAACCTTTGAATACCAACAAACAAAAAAGGTTTAGATTATCGTCGTCTTCAAAGACCGGACATTTTTTTGTTAGGTTAATATAGCGGAATTCACAGAAAAATCACTTTTTTTAGGATCCAGATCACAGCCATTTCAGTAACTTAAAAATATTATCCAAGTTTTTCCCGTGGCCGTTTTAGTAATAACTTTTTTACCGCAAACCTCTACGATAGACAGGTCCCCAGATACAGTACCTCGCATTCTTATTTGGCCACCCTGTACAGTTATGACCCAGCATTATTCTGAGTACGTATATTTTTAAGACTTTTTATTCTCTCTCAGTGTTTCCTCTTAGTTCTCTCTTAAGATCCCAGGTAATTTTTCGACGACCCTTTTGTACCTATATCGTTCGATCATGGTTTTCGATACAATCGAATTGTTGTTGTTTTCCTAGGTAGTTCCGGAAGCACTCATCTTGTTAAGCAATTGATGGGCTATTGCTAAAAAAATTGTCACGTGCGTTTACGAACCCAGTAAATTTTGAGTTTCGTGTTAGTTTGGGAAAACCGAGTGTATTTTTTCCAAATTAGAAATATGGAAGGACCACAATGAAGTTGAAGTTAACGCAATTACTAGAACGTCTAATAGCAATGGAGTGATTACTAAGAAAATTGTTCAATTAAGAAAGTTAATTAATGACATAGCTTAGAAATTATATCCCCAGATTGAGTAATCGATACTCCCATGTGGTAAAATGTAATAAAACCGTTTACGACGCCGGTTTACGTAACCACGAATAAAAGTTTCAGTTGGATTCTGAATATTTTACTCAAAGTGCTTCTTTATCTTCCGTAAAAGTAGGTACATGACCTGCGTTAACCGAAAACTCCCCTTCAGATAGCGATTGCCATTGAACAGAATGCTTAACATATAATCGCATCTGTCTGTCAGAAAAGACGGATTAATGTAACAACCCGACGCTCTTATCTGAAATACAGAAATTGTTCCGACCCGAAAACCAAATAAACCTTTTTATCGGAGGTATTTAGAAAGCGCAGTTTTGAAAGTTGCGGTCAAAATTAGCATAGAGAGCGTCGTCGTATAAATAACAAGTGTGTTTAAAATATGAATTTTTGGGTCGCTCTTGTGACACAAATTGAATATCAAGTATTTTTGATGGCTTATTGAAATTTACAATTTGTCTTCTTATGCGGCTCTCCACGTCAGCTCTATTATGGAATTTCACTCTTGGGATAACTTTGTTCGTATTTTGATGGCGCCATTGCAACTTTTAGTGTCTACAATTGCTCATCAATTGTATTTACTTATTGTATTACTTTTTGTTCATCCTATGGATAATGACGTTCACATTAGGGTCACTTTGTTGATTCAGTTACAAAAGGATTTGAATATTAATTTTATAGATAAGTAGATACTTTGGCGTGTAGCCCTTATTAGTTTGGAAAGTTGAAGTTGAGCCCAGTAGATAATGAATGGAATAGCTCGAAATCCCGATGAAAGCATGAGGTATTAGTTAGGAACAGAAACAATAAAATTAAAGCCCTTGTAATTAAGGTTCATAAAGTTTTTATTAACAAAAGGTAATGCGCTTAACAGTAGGTTTTTGGATCAACAGGAGCAAAGTTTTAATATTCATTGTAATGGGTCCCGTAATTTGTATTTTATTAAATAATGTGCTTGTAGCAGCTTTTTAAGTAATAGGCCAAAGATACCTTCCATATTGGAGAAAACCTTAATGAGCGCAGAGTTCTTATCTTAATAAAATCCCAGCTATATAAGACCACCATTCGGTAGATTTGACATCGTCATCACCCAATCAACGAAAGAAGGTATTTCCGGTAGAAGAAGAAAACAGAAGGTAGAATTTAATACACGGAAAATATCAATTGCAGTCGGATACACTGCGTTCGTACGTTTGCAGCGTCTTCATCAATCTTTGCGGAATAATTGCCAATCTACGTGCACCGAGTCTACGTAGTGAAACAAAAGGGACTGTAAATCAAATTATTTATGTCCGGTTAGCGAAGTTAGTTACTATTGCATTCATTAACAGACAATATACCGCATTTCTGTGAGTTAGATCTACTTTGTAAACCCTTGTAAGAAAGGAATCACTTGCTTTTCAAACTTGGCGCCGTAGAAACCTCGTCTGTAGTCAGCCGCATTATAAATACTTTGTTGTAGTTGACCATACGAGATCGCCACTAAGATTCATCTGTTTTAAGAGAATTTAAAACAATAAGAACTATTTTGTTGATAAATAATAAATCTTTGAACGCCATCTTTGTTTTTGAAATATCTGAGTTTTTGTGTTTACGAAAATGATAGATAAACTGGTTCTCTTTAAAAATGTGAAAAAAATGTTTTTAGTTTAAAATTTAAAGAAAATGCAATTTTAAAATTTAAGATGGCAGTTACGCCCTCTCGTGGTCATTTTTAGAACTTGAAAAGATTTTCCAGCGATTCTTCATAACCGATTTACCCAATAATTTTTTTTTACCCCTAAGTCATATGACAAACGGTTCCCGAGATATGGCCGAGGAACTGTCTTATTGGGTCACCCGGTACTTATACCTTTATATCCGGAATATCCGATTGGAAATTTCGGCGAACGAAAAGCTTTTCAAGATATTCGCCTACAGGAAAACCTATTCAGGTAAATGCGCGGGAGGTGTCGGA